ATCTTCCAGCATTTTCACAAACAACCTACAAGGAATCAGAGCCACAGAAGTCTGATGGCTTGTACCTCTTGAGCCCTCTTGAGCAAGCTGACTACATTCTCTTTCAATGGTTTACACTAGAAAGGTGAATACCAGCAGGGAGTTTTCCCTGTCAGTGAGGCCCCTCACCCAGCAATGACTGGGCCTCTCTTCCAGGTCAATGGTGTGAGCAGATAGCTTCTTGCAAAGATGGACAGACAGACCAAGACGTAAAAATAGGGAGGAGGGGAAGGAGCCTGGGTTCTACCGACAACAGTCAGCTCAGGATGACAAGGCTCTGTCTCTAGCTCTGGTGGAAGTAGAACAGAGCTGTAGAGCGGACTAGGGGGGCATGACGTGTGCTTAAATACATGGCGTGCCAGCTGCTCATAAAAGAACAATGGACTAAAAAATAATTTTCAAAATATAGAATACACACTTGTATAATTACTTTTCTTTTGCTTTTACAAAATGCCTGATCAAAAAAAAAAAAAAAAAAAACCCGTAGGGAAGAAAGGGTCTATTTTGGCTCACAGTGTAGCAGGGAAGGCATAGTAGAAGAAGCTAAGGTAGCTAGCTGGTCACATTGCTTTCGAAGTCTGAAAATAGCTGAATGCTGATACCACCTACAGTTAAACCTCCCTGGGAGCACCCTAATAGACACACCCAGAGGTCTGCATCCCTGGAGATTCTAAATCCAGTTAAATTGACAAAGAAGCATCACCCACTGTACCTACAGTGTAGAGCATGGGAGTAGAAAAGATGCTCATTCCCTTCCCGGAGACATCCCTTTCGGGGATGCGCAGACGTGCAGACCGGCAGGGTGTGAACACTGCATACCTAAAATCCTTTCCTCCTCTTAAAAACCCAGATGGCATCATTCCATGCCGAGGGCTCTGTGCCTCTCCTGCTTACCGGCTTCCTCACGTGGAGAGGATGGTGAGGCTGACCCCCTCCCATCAGGCACCGTGCTGCCCTGACTCACTCCACCACCTCATAAACAGGTGGGTGTGAGAGCCCTGCCTGCAACAGCAGCTCGGAAATAACCCAGTCTCTCGAGAGGTGAAGCTGATCTGAGGGGTAAACTAACACGCCTGCTTGTGTGAGCATTTGGTGGATGCACGTGTGTGTGCTCAGAGGGCAGCCTCAGGGGTTTCCCTTCAGGCCATATCCACCTTGGCTTTTTGGGTTTGTTTGTTTTGTTTGTTTGATTGTTTTTGAGACAGAGTCTTGCACTTGGCCTAGAATTTTCCAGGTAGGCTAGATGAGCCCCTTGGATCCTCCTGTCTCTACCTCCCAAAACTAAGATTCCAAGCACACAGCCACTTTGCCTGTTTTTTGTTGTTGTTTTGTTCTGCTTGCTTGTTTGCAATGGTTTCTGGGGATCAATTTCTGGTCTTCACTCTTGCAAACCAGTTCACTGACTGAGCCATTCCCCAGCCCCACATCTGTAGTTTGGATCAGCAGAATGGTCTCCGCAGAGACACATGTTCTGTGTCTGAAAATGTGTTTGTGGATGTGGTTTGAAGCAGAGATTCTGAATGGAGACTAGGTAAAGTTACGGCCCAGGGAAATTTTGACTGTGCGCCATGGAGACTGGCTATCAGTGCTTTCTGTCACAGTGGGCCAGGGAGGACTTGGAGACCACTAGGGACTGCCCCTGTCTTGACACATGGAAACCCCAGACCTTAGATGAGTTGCCGATGATAATCGTGTGTGTGTGTGTGTGTGTGTGTGTGTGTGTGTGTGTGTGTGTGTGTGTGTGTGGTTTTTTTTTTTTTTTCAATCCTGTCTGCTTGGCCCACCCTGCTCTGTTACACCTCATTAGCCCCATCCTGTGCCCATCAGGAGTTAGGCAGGTCCGTCCACAAGGGAAGCACCAAGGCAGGACTGGGTGTCTGGTTGAGACTTAGTGGAGAGGGTAAGGATGAAATATTTCCTGTTTGACACAAGTGGAGCTGGCCTGTTCTGATGTCACTATGAGGGGCAGTCGGGCATCCTGCTAAAGACTTGGTCAGCAACAAAGTGACTTCAAGGCCAGCTAGGGGTATATGAGACCCTGTCTGAAAGCAAAGCAGAAGTCCAAAATCCAGTCATGGGAGGGCCATGCTCCCTCTACGTTATCCAGGACAGGGTCTGTCACCATGTCTTCTGGCCTCTGCTGTTGCCAGTTGTCTTTGACTTCTTGTTTGTGCAGGTTTCACTCTGCTCCAGAGATGATCCGCACCCCCTCTCTAGTGTGTGCACATGTATGCCTCTCTCTCTCTCTCTCTCTCTCTCTCTCTCTCTCTCTCTCTCTCTGCAGCGTCTCACTGTGGAGCCCTGGAACTCACTGTGTAAAACAGGCTGGCCTCAAATTCCCAGAAGTCTGCCTGCCTCCACCTCCTGAGTGTTGGGATTAAAGGTGTGCACCACCATGACCAAAACCTCATCTTTTATGAGGACACTTACCATACTGTATCAGGTCCACCCCAACCCAACAGAACCTCATCCGAACTTTATTAACCTGAAAAACCCCTATTTCTAAATAAAGCCATATTCACAGTACTGGGCACTGAGCTTTTTTTTTAAAGACACATTTATTCAGCGTCATGATCAGACTGTTACATTTAGCAATCAACAGCATGGGTGAAAAGGGGCTACAGTGAAACCCTTTGTTGGAGCTTACACTTTCCACAGAACAGAAACTAAAGTAGCCTGTCATACATACATTAGTCACAAATCTAGTCCTCGAGTTTTTTTGCCCATATACATGAGTATTGTCTAACACATGTCTTCTTTGTAGCAGCTAGGCCCTGCCACCACTGGGCTTGGCTGAGTTCACAAATCTGTTGTAACCTGTAGCTTCCCTGTCACTTCTCTGACTCTCCTCTCCTGCTAAGCTTTGTTTCCTGGCTGTCATTAGAACCTCCTGCCACTGCCATAGCTACTGCTGCTGCTGGAACCACCATAGCCACCTTGGTTTCATGGTTTAGCAAAGTATTGGCCTCCACCAACATGAGGGCCAGAGCTCCTGCCTCCAAAGTTTCCTCCCTTCATTGGTTCAAAATTTGAAGACTGATTGTTATAATTGCCAAAAATCATTGTAGCGTCCTCCACCTCCAAAATCACTTCCGTCATTACCAAATCCATTATAGCCATCCCTACTGCCACCATATCCGCCGCCACCACGGCTGCCACCAAAGCCACCAAGACCACTGAAGTTTACCCCTCCACCAAAATTTTCATTGCCACCAAAACAACCTCCACGAGCGCCACCAAAGTTTCCAGAACCAATTTGACCTCTTTGGCTGGGCAGAGCACGAGCCAGCTCTTGCTTTCACAGGGCTTTTCTCGCTTCAAAGTTGTGGCCATTTGCCGGGTCCTCGGGCAGTCAGTGACGGGATGATGAGTGTCGACGACCCAGACCCCTTCCTAGTCACCACAGAGAACCACACTGAGTTGTGGAGCCTGTGGAAGCAGAGTCAGTCTCGCTTTACTGTAACAGGCATGCACTTATATACAGGGTTGAGAAAGTGGGTGGGGACCTCAGGATGGGGTGAGGTGTAAGGGCCAATAATATTTCATCATGCTAGCAGTTGCTGGGCAGAGGCAGTTTTGCTAAGACAGGTTGCCAAACTCTAGCCAGGCTCAGGAAGTTCCACTAGGCCTGCATCCAGGCCTTTTTAGGCCCAACAGCCGTTCAGTGTGGTATTTCTGAATAACAGTCTTGTCCACAGAGTCGTGGTCATCCAAGGTGACAAAAGCAAGCCCTCTCTTTTTCCCACTGCCTCTGCCCGTCGTGATTTCAATCACTTCAATTTTCCCACACTGCTCAAAATAATCTTGCAGGCTATCTATGTTCTTCAGTGTCCTCTTTAGTACCGCCAACAAAGATGTTTTTCTCAGTTAAGTGGGCACCTGGGCTCTGAGAGTCTTCTCTTGAAACAGCTCTCTTAGGTTCCACAAATCTTCCATCCACCTTGTGTGGTCTTGCATTCATAGTGGCGTCCACTTATTCCACAGTGGCGTATGTGACAAACCCAAAGCCCCTGGATCCCTTGGTGTTTGGATCTCTCCTTACCACACAGCTGGTGAGTGTTCCTCATTGCTCAAAATGGCTCAGCCCTCCAATGAAGTGCTTCCACAGCTGTTCTGGCTCCTTGGGTGACTCCGCCTTAGACATGACGGCGGGGAAATGAGAGCCTTTAGGGATGCTTCCTCAGCCTCATCAACAGGCAGAAAGGTGGGCACTATGCTTTAGTGTATACTTCCAGGGACACAATTAGACCCATAACAGTTAATTGGCAACATAATTGGACATGTGCTGCGCATGTGATGGTTGCCTCACAAAGACAGATCCTGGGATGTCAGAGGACAGCTTTGAGTATCTTCTAAAGCCTAGAACTCACCAAGTAGGTTAGGCTGGCTGGCCAACCCAAGGATCTGCGTGTCTCTGTCTCCTCTCCCGGGTGCTAAGATTGTAAGGGTGTACCACCATGCCTGACTTCCTTATGTGGACTCCAGGCTCAGGTCCTTATGCTTACAAGGCAAGCACTTTCCTGTTCACCCATACAGTCATGTGACCTCTTCAGCAGTGCCCTCGGTGCTGCTGGGCTCGCTATCCGTTTCCCTATAAGCAGCCTCCACCAGTGTGGCTCCATGGTGTTTGCTGTTGACACAAGCTTGGTAGGAGAAGAGAACAAGCAGCGTTGGCCAAGGGGAGGGCGAGACCTCGTGAAGAGATGAGGAGGCCAGCCCTGATGCTGTCGGGACTATATGAACACCCCCAACAAGGGGGCCTGTTCACACCTCAACATGGATGGTGAGGGAGTTTCTGAACTTCTAAGAGGCTGTGAGCACACGTGATAAACTCTTCCCTGATGTCTACATTTAATATTTCAGGGTTTTTTGTCAGAGGAAGACATGGGCTCTCAGAAACAGAGAGCCCTCACCTCTCTGCCATGGCCACACTTGTAATGAGCTCTGCCATTTCCCCACAGCCTCCAGCGTCTCCTCTTCTCCATCAACACCCACCCAAGTGACCAAGCCACACCCATTTCCTCTGGAGTCCTACAAGCAAGAGCCTGAACGCCTAGAAAACCGCATCTATGCTTCCTCATCCCCACCTGACACTGGCCAGCGCTTCTGCCTGGCCTTTCAGAGTCCAGTGCGGCCTCCACTGGCATCTCCTACTCACCATGTCCCCCTAAGAAATGTAAGTCTGCATCTTCTTTCTGGGGCAGGACTGGACCAAACTATGGGAGGCAGGACGGAGCTTCCCTGTACCAGCTCAGGCTGTGCACTGCTAGCATTTGTGAATTGTATAAGTCACGGGCTAAGAGAAACTCTCAAGGTCCAGTTGGGTATGCATGTGTGACGTCAGGAATCAAAGGAGAGACTGTGTCATCCTCTCCACTTGGAATATGACCAGGAGAAAGTCTTTTCCCTCCCCTTCTTAAAACTCATGCTTTGGAAGCACCG